GTTCCCTGTTGTAGATCAGGCACAGTTATATAAATGAGCGTGACATGAGTCAGCCCATTTACAATTCTACTATGCTCGAACGAGAAATGTCCCTCCTTTGGGAATGGCCTAAAGACACTTCAGTCAGTGGCACTGCCCCGGGGGGTAAGATACAGAGAGTGTTATCACACAGTGTAGAATGTTCTCTAACCTTGGCACTAACGACTTCTCCAAACTGCCTGCAGAGTTTCCACAGCTTGAAATCATCCAGCAGATCTTTAAAGTTCTTGATGAAAACGTTCGTGTACTGTTTGTTCGCGTTGTTCATTCTCTTCAAAAACTCGCTGGAGTATCTAGGGATGGAATGAAGAGAATGCAGTAATTTTTTCCCATGTATAAGTCAGAATTTTCGTGTCTTGTTTTAGTAAGGTTTTACGGTGCTCGCAACTGCATAAGGTGATCTCCGATCATATGAGCGCCAAGGGGTGGATGTCAATAGAGAAGTCCAAACAGGGAATCAGGCTTGCTCTGCTCACCCCTCTAGCCTCAACAGCACAAAGTCTACTTCGTCTATCAAGGCACCCCGAAAACATACAAAAGAAATAGAGGAAAATTACTATAACAAGGATGAGGAAAGAAAAAGCAGAAGCTCATCTTATGTTGTTCCGGGCACAGTATGAGCATGGCATTGATAAATCAGCGCATTTACAATTCGACTGTGCATAAGAACATGTTAATATCCCCCCTATGGGAATGGCTAAAGACAACTTCAGTCAATAGTAAAGCTCAGGTTGGTTGGGGTGGGGGGGGGGGGGGGAGGGAGTTTTCGTGTCTGAATTGACCCCCTTATGCTTTTGTCTACTTACAATATTTATCCCTCACAGAGCTGAATGAGCATATCCAGGCTGATGTTTAGTTTTCGTAAGAGTTTAACGGCACTTGCAACACAATAAGGTCATGATATTAGAGCTTAAGATGAGAGGTGCTACAAGAGAGTTACAAACACAAAAAGAAAGGAGGGTAGATAGGGACGATGCATGTTTGAGAGGAAAGAATCAGCAAATCGCTTCAAAGCGCCCGTCAACCCCCCCCCCCCCCCCCCTTTCACATTCACACACACGTCCACGGCTGAATACCTGAATACTGATACAAGGTATGATACTGCGCTCAACAATGGGCAAGTAGACTTATTTATGTTCATGCCTTGGACAGTTTCAATTCTCAAGACCTTTTTATGAGGCTATGAATCTTTTCAGTTAGAGCAAAGCCAATTGTTCGTGGTTGGGTTATTTTATGACTATGGTTACAGCACACTGAGTTATTGTTCAGAGCTTTTCACGGCAATGTTTCACCAAGAACGGATAAGGAGAATTGTAACTGTGAACACAAGTAGATGAAGTAGTCAACATCTGAGAGACCGAATAGCAATATCGACAGCGATAATAATAGTAATAATAATAATAATAATAATAATAATAATAATAATAATAATAATAATAATAATAATGATAATAATAATAAAATAATAATAATAATAATAATAATAATAATAAATAATAATGATAATAATACTAATAATAATAACAATAACAATAATAACAATAATAATTTTACTACTACTACTACTACTACTACTACTACTACTACTACTACTACTACTACTACTACTACTACTAAAGCTATTGATATTACTACTACTACTACTACTACTACTACTACTACTACTACTACTACTACTACTACTACTACTACTACTACTACTACTACTACTACTACTACTGCTACTACTACTACTACTGCTACTACTGCTACTACTGCTACTACTGCTACTACTGCTACTGCTGCTACTACTGCTACTGCTGCTACTGCTACTGCTGCTACTACTGCTACTGCTGCTACTGCTGCTACTACTGCTGCTACTGCTGCTACTACTGCTGCTACTGCTGCTACTACTGCTGCTACTGCTACTACTACTACTACTACTGCTACTACTACTACTACTACTGCTACTACTACTACTACTACTACTACTACTACTACTACTACTACTACTACTACT